TCACAGAATTCTAATGGGGAAAAATGAAAGAATATAAACGATGGCACAAAGTCTAGATTTGGTTTTGATTTCTTGGAGAAGAAGTCACCCAAGATGGATACAAAGACGAAGAAGAAGTAATTTTACACAAGAAGAAGACAAGAAGCAGATAACATGTTTGCTAATCATAATATAAGACTAATAATAACATACAATAGTTTTCTCTAGCTACAAGGAACAATTTTTTTTTTCTATTTCGATTGTGTACAAAGATAGCACATAACCCTTGTCTTGTCTAGTATATCCTCCTTAATGGTTAGTCTAGAGAGGTAGGCATAACTTCAAAAAAATAAAACATAAAACTCATCTTACATCTAATCATAGTAGATCTAACGTGATGTAGAGAATCAAGTTTAACCATTCATGAGAATTTTGTAGTGAAGGTTGTTGTCCCATTGTAGACGATAGATCATATGTGTGTGTGTATATATAAGAAATAAAATTTAATATTTCATGCATAATCATTAATAAAAAGAATATGGCATGAATGGGAACGAGGACACTTTGGTGATTTCAAGCTCATTTGGAGGATATTTTAGGGAAATTTTTTTTAACGTAGGACACTTTGGCACTGTTTGGCAAAGGGTTAAGGAAGAGGGATTAAGGAGAAGGGTTAACTTAGTTAATCCATTGTGAAGGGTTAAACATATTCTAATTCCGTTTGGATGCGCTAGTTTAGACAAGGGGTTAATACTTTTGTGTTTGGCAAATAAAGAAGGGATAAAGAGATTAATCTCATTAATTTTTTAAAAAATACCACTTTCGCCCTTACTGAAAATTTATAACTAATTGCCTCATTAATATTTATTTCGCGTTGTTTATCTTCTGATCAATTTTAAAGATTTGAAGCACTAATATGTAATTCAGTTAAGACACGTGGGATATTTTTTTTTTTTTGAAATAACGCTAAAATGACAATTTGGTATTATTCAATAAATGATTATTCAGAAGGTAAATTAAAATAAATTATCATTTCACTTTATTTCAGCACTAAAGAGAGATAATGAGCTAACAAAATATTATATGGCTTCTCCTCTATCAATAAACCTGGCAAAAAAAAATGATTATAAGTTTTGCTCATATAAAATTATAAAATTTGCTCATATAAAGATAGTAAAAAGATATAATTCAACCTCCTTATACTTCAATATTCGACAACTACATATTTCAATTATTCCAAAGCTGTAAAGCAATCCTGTTGCGAAGCTGCTCACCCCTTAAACTTTCATCTGCACCAACCATGTATTGGGGGTCTTCTTCCTCCTCCACCTCATCTTCATCCTCATTCATCTCTAATCCATTGAGCATATTAAAGTATTTATCATTTCCCTGATGCCTTGCAATAAAATTATGAAGAACACAACAAGCTACAACGATTTTGACTTGAGTTTTATAAGGAAATGGAGCAGCAACTTTCAAAATTTTGAATCTTTGCTTTAAAATTCCCCATGCTTTTTCCACTGCATTACGTAGTTGTGCATGTCTATGATTATATTTGTCTTTAGTATCTCGATAGGCTCTGGTTGTCCTGTTTGCAAAATCTCCAAGATGATAGCGTGATCCACGATATGGGGCGATAAATTTTGAAGTATTAGCATATCCTGAGTCAACTAAGTAAAAGTGACCTGCATATTTAAAATTATCTGACTTTAATACCAATTGATTTTTTTTAAAAAGAGAAGGAAAAATATTAAAATTTACCTTCAGGAACATTAAATTTACCATCTTCCAGTGTTGCACGGAGTACTGACATATCAGATGCTGATCCCTCCCATCCAGCAGCCACATAAAGAAAAGTATGATCAAAGGAGCACGCTGCCATTACATTTTGAGATATGAAATTCTTTCGATTACGATACCTGTTGTGTTTTTTTTTCTTCACAATTACATGAATATGAGATCCATCAATTGCTCCCAATGCTTTCTGCAAATATAAAAATATATAAGGTTCTAATGTATAGAAACATACACACAGACACATTAAAAAACCGGTGAAAAAATATATGCATTTAGCTTTACCTTGAAATATGGGAAGAAATTAGGATTCTCTCGAATTTTAGGATGAACGTCTACGTCAGCCGTTGGAAGCTGGATATAATCTTGTTTCAAAGATAAAATAGCATTAAGCACGTTATTATAATGCCCTGCTAATAGTCTCTCCATAGTTTGAATGAAATTCCAGCTATATATCGCATTTGAAAGGCCATGTGAAATTCCGTAGAGAAATATTACAAAGTTGCTTCATTGCCGCAGCATTAAATATCTAGTTTGGGCGCTTAAAGCCCATTCTTCTCAATTAGAACATTTTTTTAAAGCGCCAAAAGAAAATGGCCTCAGAAGACTCCATTCGAAACAAGAATATGAACGATCAGGCATGTCGCAAGCCAACATATCTTCTACAAGCATATGCACCAGAGAATGGTCTAGATCGACATGGTCGAGGAACCTGCCTTCATCACATTTGAATTGAATGAATGATGCTTGCGTAATCATCTCGTTCCACATGTACCTCATCCTCATCGCTTCATCATTCAAAAGCAACGTCTCCTATAAGATCATCTTCATCATCAGTGCTTCAATATCAATCAACAGCTTAAGATTGCTTGTAAAATCTTCAAATGAATTCATCTTCAAACCAAATTAAAACGAACAAATATATGACAATTCGCTTATAAAGAAATGGTAGCATATATGTTTCAAAAAACATTAACTTGCATTCATAATCAACACCTAAGAAATTTACTTCAGTGTTAACCAGTTGAACTATATCAATTTTAATATCCAGCATGTAACTCACGGCCTGTAACCACACACACGTGTGAAAAGTGTCATGCCAACAGGAAACTTAGTCATTGAACTCAATTTATTTTACTTAATACTGAACACCCACCTAACCTGTGTATTTCATAGCTAGTGTATGCAAATAACGGGTAAATTTAGAGATGGAAAGAGCTCTGCAGAAGAATAAAATTATCCTTAGTCTTTATGCGCTTTCCAAATTCAGCACATGTACCTAGACTCATATTGCCAGGATTTGACATGCACCAATTCACTTCGGATAATATCAAATATTAAAAAGACACCAAATGTTAATCTTGGTGAAACTGTGAAAGCTAGGCTTCAGCAATTCTCTGTGATGAATAAACTCAAGAAGAGAGCTCTCAGGTGATTGCTGAACATTTGTTACTGGAGGAAGCAGCTGACATAAAGGAGATGTTTTCAAAGATAGATGTAAACAATACCGGGAATATATCATTAGAAGAGCTGAAATTTGGTCTGCACAAGCTTGGTCACCAGATTCCAGATGCTGATGTTAAGCTTGGCCACCAGATTCCAGATGCTGATGTTAAGCTTGGCCACCAGATTCCAGATGCTTCTTTGTAATTTGGCTTAGGAGCCTTAATTATCTTGTTAAGGAACATATTGAAACGTAACTCATT